AATCCCCTGCCTCTCCATCCCAAAGGAACCCCCTATCGCCAGATTTGGTCGGTCGGAGTTGGTCAATTTGGTCTGCTCTCTCATCATTGGGTGTTACCCTGAATATGGTCAGTTTAAACACAATTAAGACGTTGATATCAACCTTTGCGAGACGTCCCCATACCTTTGAACTAAAGTCCCACGTCTGACTACAGACATTTTGTCAGAGCTAATCGCAACCTCTGTACCGAAAGAGACTTTAACGAGGTAGGCCCCGTCTCAATGATATTGGTTCTTTCCTCTTCTCTAGGTTTATAGATGTCAGAGATAAATCCAATTACATCTTGGACGATGTCTCAGACGCATGTTTAACTTTTCATTCAGAACAGATAGAAAAACTGGCGTCTGTGATTGCGGAGGACAGAGTGACCTAAGCCTATCGCCGTGAGAGATGTCAACAGTGTGTTTATACATCGCGGAACGATCACTGTATGTGCAGAGGTGGAAGTGGGCACTTATAGTGTGTGCTCGTCCCGCGGTCAGCGTCAATACCATACACAGGTCCAGTTGGTGAAGCTTATTTTTGAATACAGAAATAAAAGTGAGTGAAGCCTTCCTACTGGTCAGCAATGTTCAACAGTACAGCCTCCACGCCATCGGCACACGGCGACACACCACATGAACACAAATGGAGAAGCATATGTTCCAGGAACTCATGGCTATTGTTTGTGAAGACCCTACCAGCCCAACCATTCATTTATATGTAGTAATAAAACTAGCGTAGGAAAACGTGCACTTCATTTTATATCAATAATATAAATAACCCTTTCCTTTAGAATGGGTGAAATATACAACCACTGAACGTACAAGGTAGATTGCTCAAGAAAGCACTTACTCTATGAGCAACCTTAACGATGATCTTGACCTTAGGCAGTGATCACTGAAAACAGTGACTAATTTATGATGTCTACAAACAGCATCAGTGACATAGCAACAAGAAGACAAAGTCATCAATACCCCCCGCAATGTCAAAATTCTCTTCACGAGTTATGATTATGTCAAATGTTTTGGTGTGTATATAGAAAAGTGGAAGGGGGGTATTGAAAGGTTTAAAATGTTCTGCTCCGAAAAGAGCACAACCACCAATTTCAGTCTAAGTCAAACTTGTTGCCATGGAAACGTCAACGATATTTAATTCAGAATACCAAAACTACAAAACGGCACCAGTACACCACTAGACCAATCTACGCGCCAAGTTTGGTGAAGAAATAGTGAACGGTTTTAAAGTTCTGCTCCGGAAAACAGCACTACCACCAATTTCAGTCTAAGTCAAACTTGTTGCCATGGAAACGCCAACGATATTTAATTCAGAATACCAAAACTACGAAACGGCACCAGTACACCACCAGATGTATGTATGTGCCAAGTTTGGTGAAAAAACATTGAACGGTTTTAGAGGTCTGCTCCGGAAAACAGCACTACCACTAATTTCAGACTAAGTCAAACTTGTTGCCTTGGAAATGCCAAAAAGTTTTTATTCAGGATTCCAAAACTACCAAAAGGCACAAGTACACCACCAGATCTATCCATGTGCCAAGTCTGGTGAAGAAACATTGAACGGTTTTAGAGTTCTGCTCCGGAAAAGACAAAAGTGCACGGACGCACGGACGGAGTCCATTTTAATACCCCCGCAAAACGCGTTGCGGGGAATAACAACGAGTCGTGAGGGAATTGGACTTGGTTCCCGGCGACCGATGCCTTTGAGACGACCGATCGGGTCGTGAGTGAGTTGGGTTTAACCTCATGTATGTTTATTGCACAGTCGGCAATACTGCAGCTCTTGGATGGTGGTTTGTAAATATTCGAGCCTGGACCATGTAATCCAGAAGCAGACATAAGGGCATCATTTTTGGTTTTTTGTGTTTCACGTAGCCACCAAATTCTGAACATGGGTCGGTCGGTCGGGGAAAAAACCTAATAAAGACAAAATTATCTGAATAAAGTTCTTGATTGTCATTTATTATAATTATTATTACAATTTCTCACGTTCCTTGGAATTGTGGCAGCGACTGATTACAAGTTAGACATACATATGACGAGGCGGTACGTTTAAGGTTCGAGTCGGTGGTGTTGGATTGCTTTTATTGTGGTTTTTTTGGGGTGTTTTTGCTTTAGATTTTAGCTTACTTTTGTTGTTGTTTTTTGTTTTGTTTGTGTGTTTTGTTGGGGTTTTTGGGGGTTGATTTTGTTGTTGTTGTTTGGTGTGTGTGTGGGGGGTTGGGGTGGCAATAAAATTATATTATTATTATTATTTAAGGGTCGATCGGGCAATGAGAAACACACAAAATTTAAAATGCTGCCCGGGCATCGAACCTCGCAATTGGGACACGGCGACTTGTACCAGCGAGTCAGCGGGCCGATCCCGTTAGTCTCATCTCAAGGCAAGCGTTGGTTGCAGGCTAATTCTCACACGGACTTGACGAGTTGTCAGCCTTACAGATGAGTGAAGCCCGATACAGGTCAGCGTTTGAAACCCACGGGCACGGGTATGTGCTGACAGACTGGAGATCATATCATTCTCATTAGCTCAGGGTATGCATGTCAGACGGGACAGGGGTATGTTCGCGTCACTCGCGTGGCTTTGTCGAGTTCCGATCTCTCAGTTACATGTGTTTGAATGATACAGAAAACACACTCACCAATACCAACTCATTAAAAGTTCCCTCTGTACAGATCATAACAGTAAATGATGCATTCCCTTCCGACACTTCCATGAAATATGCTACCAGGTTTTCAACAACTGTTCAATATCTTTCCACACCCGAAAAACTGAGCGTAACGAGATAAAATGGGCTCAGCGTTAAAACCCTGACCTAAATCATTAGTTGGTTGATTCAACACGTTCTATTCAAAACAGATGTAAAGCTGAATAAAGTTTGAATTCAATGGATCAATATTTAGCCTAAGAGAAAGATTCAGCTAATCAAACCAACGAAAAACTGCAGGAAAACAGCTGTGACTGAGCGACGATTAATCGGATCTGAAAGCGAACAGTATCCAAGCGCCTATGGGTATCTGGGGGTATATTGCTGGAGGGGGCTTCTTTCAGTAACCTAGTAACACAAATTAAGATGGTACTACAGCCTTAATTGAGTCGAGCTATGCCAGTGGGGTATATCTTTCCTCACTTAACGAGCAGTTTTATCCATTATAGGAATTACTAGCATTGTTAGTATTTTACTTCGTCGTTCTAAACACTTGGTGGCTAGCAGTCCATTGGGCGTTCTAATGCTTGTATTCCAGCTCCTTCTTGAGCGGTCCAGGGCAGTAGGTGCATTGTGGCTTGCTGGCTTTTCCTTTGATTCCGTCAAAATGGTGTTTCAGTACCTATGATTTTACTTCAAAGAATTCGTTCTTGTTCCAACATTATTGAAGATAGTGAATATCATACCATAGTGCGCCAGCTACAGTCAGCAGACAGGTTTGAATATAGTGCTAGACAAAGACTGATAGTTTAGACATGCAGACAAGGATTTATATACAAACCAAACTCCACAATACACAACTTAAAGTGATACGAATACATGACACGTTTTATGGATAACAACTTCATGTTATTCCTATTCGACGTTTCAGGGGTAATTCTGACTCTTTCAAGTGAATACACAACGTTATGTTCATTTTAGAAAGGGGCGGTGGGGTACCCTAATGGTTAAAGCGTTGGCTCGTCATGCCGAAGACCCGGGTTCGAATCCCCACATGGGTACAATGTGTGAAGCCCATTTCTGGTGTCCCCCGCCGTGATGTTGCTGGAATATTGCTAAAAGCGGCGTAAAACCAAACTCAGTCAGTCAGTCAGTCATTTTAGAAAATAATGACGTCAACGCCCTAAATGACACCTATCAACGAGTATTTCCGACAATAAAGCATAAAATTATTAATTCAACATCTATCTTATGTATTGTTTCTTTCACTTCTGTAAAATGCTGCCCGCTTGTCTCCGATACGCACTTTTGTGGTTTAATATTAGGAGAGAGTGATCAGATTGATATCACGATACACGATTCACTCCGTCGGGGATCGATGACCCTCCATCAAGCTGGTCACACTGCCTGACCACAGAGCCACCAAGTCGCCTTTCAAACTGGCGTCCGGTTACCCGGACTCCCGGCAGGGAATGTTGTATGGGGCAGTGAACAGGGTCAGAGATGATCTACTCCCGTGATGACCTACTCCAGAGAGATGCCCTATTCAGAGATGACCAAATCCAGAGATGGCCTACTACAGAGAAATGACCTATTCCAGAAATAGCCTACTCCACAGTGATGACCAACTCCAGGGATGGACTACGACAGAGAGATGCCCTACTCAGAGATGACCAAATCCAGAGATACCCTACTCCGGAGTGATGACCAAATCCAGGGATGGACTTCGACAGAGAGATGCCCTACTCAGAGATGAACAAATCCAGAGATGGCCTACTACAGAGAGATGACCTATTCCAGAGATGTCCTACTACAGAGATGAGACACCACAAAGAGAGGACCTACTACTGGGAGAGGACCTATTTTAAAGACACCACATTCAAGAAACACCCTTCTCTCGGGATACCTTGCTCAACAGATACCCTGCCCTCGAAGTATATGATAGAGTTAGCTGAAATACACCCCAGAGAAGCTGTATACCACGGATGCCGTACTCGATATATTTCTATATTAGTGATATCCTTCTCCGGAGAGGTACTTTAGAAGCCCTGTGTTTGCAATGCCCTTCGCTTCACCCCTACTCCTGCGATTCTCTAAAGTGAGGTGCCCTACTACCGGGCTGACCCATAATCTACAACAGTGAAACCATTCAACGTTAATCCGTCAATAATCTGTCTGAATGCATAACATGTTAATGTTGTGCCAGATTATAATGCAGCTTAGCAGACACATGCTCCCTATATCTGTACTGCAGGTGCTGCACATCTTGTAGACATGCAAGATACCGGCCATTCCACGCTGTTACAGTGCACTTACCTTCTTCTTGCCGAGGTTGTGTACTTCACACTTCAGTAGCGCCAGCTTCCCCGCCTCGTAGGTGTAGTTGTCGGGGGTGGGGGCAAACGCAGGGGGTTTCGCCTGCCACGTCGGCGTCTGGACGAAGGGTTTGTCATAGGCTGGAAGAGAGACAAGACCATCACGTTAACAAAACCAGATCTGATGTAAAAAATAGTTTGTGCGTGATCGACATTTAACAACGATCTTAGCGACATTACATCATCTGTAATGGAGTGAGTGAGTGGACGAGATAGGTGGACGAAGGGCGATTGAGTAGGGATGGATGGAATTAGGGCGAATGACTTGAGATGATGTAGGAAGGATGAGAGAGATGTCGTACTGCTTCAGTAGAGTGAATGAGTGGATGAGAGGAGCCGAGAAGAACGAGATTGTGTTTAAGGATTGAGTTGCTGACTTGGGCTGTTCCGCGGAACTGCTGACGTTCGGTCACTCAGCACCTGATTCAGTGAAAACCTCGCATGAGAATTATTAATATATTGTCAGGTGAACGAAGTGGGGACGGTGTGGAGTGGCAATAGGTTCATATACACACGAGTCAGAGAATTACTAACTACCAAGTACCCATGGACCTCTTCAATTAGAATATCAGTGAATACTACATAATACTACAGTCATATATCAGTGAATACTACATAATACTACAGTCATGTATCGGTGCACACTACACAACACTAGTCATATATCAGTGAATACTACATAATACTAGTCATATATCAGTGAATACTACATACTACAGTCATGTATCGGTGAACACTACACAACACTAGTCATATATCAGTGAATACTACATAATACTAGTCATATATCAGTGAATACTACATACTACAGTCATATATCAGTAGATACTACATACTACAGTCATATATCAGTGAATACTACATAATACTACAGTCATGTATCGGTGAACACTACACAACACTAGTCATATATCAGTGAATACTACATAATACTACAGTCATGTATCGGTGAACAGTACACAGCACTAGTCATGTATCAGTGAATACTACATAATACTAGTCATATATCGGTGAAAACTACATAATACTAGTCATATATCAGTGAATACTACATAATGCTAGTCATATATCAGTGAATACTACATAATACTAGTCACATATCAGTGAAAACTACATAATACTAGCCATATATCAGTGAATGCTACATAATACTAGTCATATATCAGTGAATACTACATACTACAGTCATATATCAGTGAATGCTACAGTCACGTATCGGTGAACTTAACATATAAATCACGCCATTCCAAATGCACAGCTGCACGTTTGGTTGGGATCGATTGACTCCCCCGGTGCCATCACAGACGACAGTGCAGCTTGACAGCATGACATATACACCACGACGACTTAACGAGGAGGCCTTCAGGCGTGAACATTGGATCGAGATGGTCTTATTTAAAATACTGAACATTTTCTTTGGAAAGAATTTCTCCACATGAGAGGATTTCCCCAGGGATGTAGGTTAATCTTAAACGCTCGGAATTAGGGGGCTCGTACTAATTACCACGGTGAGCAGTCACTATAGACGCTGACTTAAGGAAAAAATATCGACTTCAGGCACAAGACGGAAGTGAACGGCCAACACACCGGAAGGGGGAATTTGGGCATCATACCACCGACAGCAAGGCGCAATTTGCCTGACCGGTTGCCGAAGCCATACAAAGTCACATTCGAGAGCCATAATATCACTTGGTTAATGGCAATCTGAACACACCAATACGTGATCATCCCAATACTGGTTCTGGTGTCACAAATCAGACACTGAAGCCAAGAAGTTGATAGTGGCCATGCTCCTTCCATCCTCTGCAAGACCGCCATTACGTGTTACGTCAGTCTACCCCTGTGTTTACACTGTATAATAATAGATTGATTTCAGTACCTCAAGGAGGAGATTCCCACAAGAGTTGAGTGTTCTCATTAAATAACCATACATCATCTCAGCATTGCGAGATGGAAGACAGAATGCCTCGAGCTTACTGTCTCAACACTGTAAAGCCAAAATATTTCCTCCCGTGTCGCCCAGTCGACTGCCGTTGAAGAAACAGCCGATCGACTTCTCGTTTGTTTGTTGTTGTAACTGCCAGGCTCCGCCATTCAGCGCCACCAACTTAAGTTAAAAGGCTATTCGATATTTGCCCTCAGCCAAAAGTTAACATTGAAGACAAAAATGTGCTTTCAAATTCTTATTAATAATTATCGCTCGTCTCGGTCTTCTGAAACATGCGATAATAAACACTTCTCGGCGGATCAGTCCGGGACCATGTTGGTCGAGAGTCGCAGTTGAGTTATTGGAACCAAGTGCGTCAACAGTAAAATGACGTGGTGACGTTCTGATATTTGTCATGTTGTGACGCTATGATGATCTTCATGTTGTTGCGATCTGATGTAAGTCATGGCGTGATGACCCGATGAACGCCAAACTAATAGCCCACTCTTACGCTGCGACCTGTCGTACGCTGCTGTATGTGTAACTCTCCATTACAATGTGGCACACTGGACGTGTGTACATAATTACCGTTCCTCTCTGACAGGGTTGGTGTCAACATGTCAACATACCGTTCCACGGGGATATCGTCGCGAACCCAGCGACTACACAGAGACCGCCAAGCACACTTCTACCATCCGGAGGGGCGGTGGGGTAGCCTAGTGGTTAAAACGTTGGCTCGTCACGCCGAAGACCCGGGTTCGAATCCCCACATGGGTACAATGTGCGAAGCCAATTTCTGGTGTCCCCCGCGGTGATGTTGCTGGAATATTGCTCAAAGCGGCGTAAAGCCAAACTCAGTCAGTCTACCATCCGGGTTAGAATTTGCCTTCAGCAACCAATGATTTTTCCTCAAGAGACAAGAAACGTGATCGGCTTGTCATTGAAGCAGTTACTGGATAGTTTTGTCTAGGAAGAAGTATTTTATGACTGCCGTCATATGGTTGGACTATACAAACAATCGGGGCAATATTCCGTCGCCCATATTACAGCAACTTCAGTGGGACATATTTGGTTGTCCACGTTGTCGCAACGTTTTGAGACTGTTAGTCTGTTGAGTCCACGATGCTGAAATGTTGTAGCTCCTTTCCTTTGAAGGAAGGTTATGATAACTGAAAACACTGAATATCAATGCTGATGTTGACTCATTTTTAAGTTTCCCAATAAACTTTTTCAGACGCCTAAACTTAAAACTGGCAAGATTACCGATAACGGACATGAAACCTTCCCATCTCTATAACAACCATCTCATAGAAGTCAGGTGCAGACGTTAAGCAACAAGCAATCCTTTTTAAAATGAACGACCCATTTCTCCATCGTTGAAAGCAGACCTCTAAGCTCATTTATTGTAGGTAATGCATAACCCTACTTTGATCAGAGATGATAGGCCTCGGACGTGCTTCACACCACGGGGAACTGCCTTTCAAAACGAACCCCACAGAACATTGGCTGACTCACTTCAAAAGGAAAGAGGAGAGAATGTTCTGATCAGTCCCTAAATCGATTGATTAGATTTCTATAATCACCAGCACATCATAATTACTTATTTCCACTGCATTACAAGTTAAACACGATTCGTGAATGGCAAACCCCTTGCACAGAACAAGGCATGAGGTCGGCATCATATCGAGAATGTAGATACACCATGTATTGATTTGCAGCAAAGGAACTCTTGAGGCGGCACTCTGAAATAGTGCAGATTCACATCGTAACTGCCTCACAAACATCATTAAACGGAGATGGAAAATACAAGTTGAGCTGTTGCAAGCTGCCAATTAAGCTAGGCCCATTAACGAGAACATCTTTCTCGCCCCGACTGTACTGGTATCGTTTATGGTGATGTTTGTTGAAGAGGTGTTTACTTAAGAATAGTAAATATTTAGCTTTTTTACAGAAAACACCACACCAGACAGCCATCTGTACAGTCGATTTAGCGTTTGTAAAACAGCAAAGTTTTGTTTCTTGTTTAATTGAACCTTACTAATGTTTTACCCATGCCAATCCCAAGATGCCAAACCTTTGACCATGATCTTCACATTTTCTTAATTCCCATATCACATATAGGCGAAGCTGACAAAAAGTTGGCGAATAATGGAGTTTATTGTGAGTTATCTGTCGGCGAGTAACTGACTGCATGAAAAGTAATACACTTTTGGGGGTAACGGACTTGGTCGCGAGTAATGGCCTTGTTGAGAGTTATTGACCGTAATGGTGAGGGGGCTCAGTGGCGTGCAATGTACGTTTCGACGAGTAACGGACTTTTCGAACGCTATTGAACTTGTTGGCGAGTAATGGACTGAATTGCGAGTACTGGACGTGCTTGTGTTTATCAGAGTTGATGGCGCCACTTGTTGGCCAGTAAAGGGCTGGGTGACGAGTAACTGACGTGCTGGCGAGTTATCAAAGATGTTGGCACAACTTCCACTTGCTGGAAATTAAATGACTTACTGTATTGAACGTGTTGCCGAGTCATGGGCTGGATGGAGTAATGGACTTGTAAAAGGCAATTCAACTTGTTGGCGGGTAATAGATTTTTCGGCGACTAACCGCTTCGAAGAGCGTTATCAATACAATTTACCGTCAGCAGAACTGACGGGTGACTTTTGTTGGAACCTTAACGAGTAGTTCAAGTAGGAAAGATTCCACAGTATCTCTGAACGCAGTGGACTGTGATCCCTAAAAGAAGACCCTTGATTTCCACGTGAAGCAGTACAGGCACTCGGACGGCATTGGTATCGCACTGCGTACACGTGACCTGGGGCTTTCACCCTTTATCAAACTTTAATGTTCCTCTTACCTACAACGTCGCTAAATTAGGATTCGCCATTTTGCACTTGCGTCTTATATATTAATTCAGAATATGTAAACGTGGGTGTCTTGACGTAGGAAGGGTGAATGAGGTCCAATATTGACATATCCTGCATACTCCGCCAAAAAGGCTGAAACAATTCTTCACAACAAAATCGATCGTGGGAGAGATCATTGGAAATGTCGGAAAACAGGTCTGGTATGTACATCTTCAGTTGGTTCGATTAAATACAACCCACTTCATTTCTTGTGTTTGCCAGTCGTTGACATTAAAGGCACTTTTTTATGC